TAAACTACTTAATACAAGAGAAAATAAAGCAGCTATTGCATCACTTCCGATAGACTGCGATCTAGACTCATGAATCTACCAAGTCATCGCTGTCATCAATTGGGTCAGGATATTCGTGTTTACATTTATAGTAGATTGCAATCTGCATTTTCTATCGGATTCAGTTCTTCTTTAATTTGGGTGTACCACTATGTCTAAATGCATAATAATTGTTACTTAACGATAAATTTAATTTTTATAATTATTAAATTTTCTTATAATTATCATATTGATTCTTTCGAAAAATTTCATTAATTAATTCTAAATATTGTCTTTAATAACACTTTTGTCACGACCCGGCCTGAGGCTTGGAATTAATCAAGACGAAAACAAACGATCGGAAGGTGGCAATTAAATCTTCAATATTCATTCTCTATAAATATCATTTTACAAATGAAAGATCCACAAATCAAATTAAGTTAAAGCAATATATTTAAAAATACTTCATTATTGGTTGTCCTCGTCTTCTATAAATATTCTCTTCTATTGTTTAACTTTTAATCAAATAAATTAACCTGAAAAGTTATTTTAAAACAACTGTGAGCTAAATAAGCTAGTTAATACTCATATTCATAAACTGTAGTAATACAAGAGAAAATACAACAATATGTATACCAGTAAAACTTTTAAAAAATTAATAAAAATATTTAATACTATTCAAAGAACCTTATTATATAAATAGCATACATTTATCATTCTATATACAACCGTCATAGAAACACCATCTAAAAATAATATTAGACACATTAATACAAATTCATTTTCTATATACGTGCACAGGAACATTAGTGTTCCCCCACAAGTATCATCAAGAGGTAACTTCATTATAGTCGTCTATGCACATACAAGCAATCAATACAAATATATTATTTATTTGTTTTTCACATTTGATTCAATATGCCATATATTTTATTTTTTTGAAAAGTCCAAGGGCTGATTCTATTGAAATAGAAAAGAATACATAAAGGTAGTATGAGAAAAACCCAAAGGAGGCACCCTACCATACAATACTAATACCCAAAAAAAAGATACAGATAGACTCAACAAAAAGTAAAAAAAATTTAAAACATGCAGAAAACAAGTAGCTAGGGACGAGCCAGTTTAGTGTTGCCCCTTCCTCTAGTTTTAGAAGCCGAAGCAGATAACAAACTTTGAAGAGTCGTGTCATTACTAGAAGTCACCAAAGTAACATCCATTAAGTTTTCAAGTTGGAGTGAGCCCCCAGCCTTCTTCTTCCGCCGAGAAGTGTAAACCTGTCATTCTTCATCGGAAGACTGGCTCATGTGATCCTCGATTTGATTTGATGTTAGCACCGCAGTAGGAGGAAAGACTGTCGTTGCCACCGCGATAGGTTCCAATGCATGTGAAGTGTTTATTGTTACCTCTGCACCTGATGCTACCTGAATAGGAGCTGCGGGACTATCCTGATTTTCAATTCGAACATTATCCGTTGTAGTATGGTTAGGAGAAGGAATCCCAGGGGAAGACACCAACTCCTGTCTTGTGGTAATTCCTTCCTCGGGTTGGTTGGGAACGCGTTCAGGAACATGGGGTGCACTAATAGTGTGTTCCTACTTTTGATTATTGGTTCTCAACTGTGGGTCCAATCTGACACATTTCTCCTGCGACCTTGCAGTGCTTGCAGAAGTATGATTTTTGTTTCATAATGATTTTTTGCCAATAATTATTGTGGGCAGATCCAAGACAGACGTTTTATACATCTGGTAGTGTAATATCTCGTTCAATCAAAATCCTTGCAATAGAGGGCCTTGAGAAATGAACTGTAGGTAAGTCTATCTACAAAGGTTTTCCAAGGATAGTCCCATTGCATATAAGATATGTAGGTCAAAGAAATGAAACTTGAGTTCAGGTAATGAGAATCAGATAGGTGCAATTTAGGGTTCTTGACTGGGATCAAAATTGGGGGTCCATTTGTGCAATTGGTCCATTTGAGCAATTTCATATGTTTGTCCTCAATTCTGATGAATTTCTTTGAGAAAATTCTCGTGTAATCATCTTCTGTGCTCAGCTGTATCATAACATGTCTTCCGTCGAAATGACCCACTTGTCAATCCCCAACCAATTTGAAGTCTTCAAAAACATTCCTAATGATCTCCATCTTAGTACAACCTAATTGGAACTTTCCAACTAGTGTAAATTTATATTTTTCTGTACTAGTTGAAATTTCAACATCAAAAAAGAAAATAGCTTGTTTGTCCGCCTTTTTTTCTACTTTTTTGATGAGATTGCAATCTTCATTCCAACAACAGAATCATGGTAAATCTACGGGAATACCGCACTATCTGTGAGTTGAAAAGGGGAGCTGCGTTTGTGAACCACTGTAGCATAGGAGGGTTCGGCGGGGTTATCACCGGCGAGGGCGACGGCGTAGAAAAGCCCTGAGGCCATTACCGCAACAAGTGCCAACCTACAGCATAGTGAGAAGCTGTACGAGTGTCGAACGGCTCTGTCGCAAACCGGGCGGCTCTGTCGCAGAGGAGACGCAGCCAAGTGCCAACCTGCAGCATAGTGAGAAGTTGTACGAGTGTCGAACGGCTCTGTCGCAAACTGGGCGGCTCTGTCGCAGAGGAGACGCAGCAGCGTGCGGCTCTGTCGCAGAAGTCGCAGAGAAGACACAACAGCGGGCGGTTCTGTCGCAGAAAAAAGGGCAGCTCTGTCGCAGAGGAGACGCTGCAGAAGGAAGGTGTTGAGCGGTCGAGCAGCTCACGAGACGCAGCAGAAGGAGCGGCTCTGTCGCAGATGAGACGCAAGCACGACCGCAGCGCTGCCGCCAGACGAGACGACGTGAAAGGGAGCAAATGACGCGAGCGCGAGACGAAGAGAATGATGCTAGGGTTCTCCATAGGGCAGAACCCTAGTAGAGCAGAACGGCGACATGGATCAGAAAAATATACGAGGCTCAACATGTCATGTATAACATACACCCATGTCTGATACTAAGTAGTTATAAACTTTTATAACAATGTGACTAATAAAGGAAAATAAAGTTAGTGTGATTATGATTATCTACTAATGTATAAAAATCAGGAAGAAAAAAATTATCATAGATTTTAAGTACAAGCGATCACCTCAATGACACTCAATTCGATAAGATTTTGCCCTGACGTCGACTCTTGTAAAGTGAAAATCTAACTTAAACATGATATAAAATTTAATTTACTTAATATTTTTAGGTAAACTATTTAATTTTCATAATTATTTAAGTATTAAATTTCCATTATTTTAATTTATGTAATCTTTTTTATTTTTATATTCAATGTGTGTGTGTGTGTGTGTGTGTGTGTCTAAATTCCAAGAGTTAATATATTAAAGAGAAAAGATACATATAGGTTGTATGGGTGGGCCTAAAAATAGACACCCAACCCACACGATACAACACACCCAAAAAAAGTTAAAAAAAGGGTACATATAAAAATAAAAAAGCCCAAAACACTCGGGCGATGAAAAAAAATGAGGGTCATCGCAATCTTGTATTGCCTCTGGCTCTAGTTCTCGGAAGGGATACAGCTAGCAGATTGGTAAGGTGCATACCATTACCCGACATAACCAAAGTATCATCCATAAGACTCCCGAGCTCAAGTAAATCTTCATTCTTCATTCTTCTTCTTCCTCCTCTTCCTCCTGGAAGTGTAAACCTGTCATTCCTCATCCAAAGAATCAGTTTGACGAGGTGGTAGAGCTGAAGAAGAAAGATTACCAATCGAGTACTCACAATAGATTCTAATATCTGCGAAGTATGGGTTGCATCACTCATAGTAACAACAGTGTCATTGGGGCGGGGGCGGGGGCGGGGGGGAAGCCACAGGGGCAACAGAATCCTTCGTCCCCCACTTCCTCCTCCCTGCTCGACGGAGAAATCCTCATTCGCCGATGTCATCACCTCCGGCCATTGGGATGCCCTATCTGCGCCTATCATCTCTCGCACTTGCCGCTAGACTCACTTGGTAAGTTTATCCCACCTCTACCTCCCTCGAGTTCTCTCCTCTGGGTACACAAAACAAAAACAATGCATTATTATAGCTTTCTAATTAAACAAGTGTGAAATTAAATAATTAGATATCGGACATTTATGGTTTATATTTTTTTATGAAATTTTAAAGGCAAGTGAATCTCAAATGAAAAGGTACACAAACATTCTGATAACATTACATAAGAACCAAGAAAATGTCTTAAATTAAGGCAATTACATAAGAACCAAACCAATGAGCTTAGGAAAGAAGATATTGAAAGAACAGTCGAGCAAATACTGACAGAAAAGTATGTTAGCATCAGATAATCAGTTTGGCTTTAAGTCATTAGCTATGAAGCCAATCTTTGTGGCGACAAGATTAGAGAAACAAAGGGTTTAAATAATAGAAATGGCATATGTTTAGAATAAGCTTGAAAGAATTGATTTGTTAGGCATGATAAAGATGTGTCTAAGGTATGGCAGTAGATGGACCACCTAGGCGATAAGTACCTAGAATTAATATTAAAGTATTATGGAGAAAGAAGCAGAAGGGAAACGTAATGGAATTTGTTTAAAAATATTGCACAACATAAAAATAACAAATCAGCTAGAACTCAATCAGAAGATTAAAGAAGTCCAAATTTTAGGAACTTTTTATAAGGCCAAGGAAGATATAAACTAACAATAAAAATGAGTGCTTTTATGCCCCAAATGAAGAGAAAGCACAAGAATTGTTGCAGATAATCATTTTTTTAAATATCTTCGGAAACAAAAATAATAAAAACAACGTGACGCTGGAATGTTTAACCGGAAATGTTTCAAGTGAAATAAACAAGTAATAACACCCCTATATAATATTTTTCATGGTGCGTATAAGAAAAAAAATATAAAATTATGTGAATAATGAAATGGATAAATTGTATTCCTATGCAATTGTAAATTTAGAAAGCTATGCATAATCTCTTTACCATTGCATATCATGCAGCCTTACTGTATCATTCATGAATAAGTTGCTCAAAGCATGACAAACATTCCATTGGACCTACAACAGAAAAAAAAAATCTAAATAAAAAATAAATTAAAACAACAATTTAGCTAACAAAAAAACTCATCAAAATAATGATCAAATCATAATGCTTGTGGAAAAGCAAGATTGAAAGTCTATTACGAATTGATATAAATAATTCCAAAATTCCAACAATTAGTTATAAATTTTTTTTAAAAAAAAACATCATATAATAAGAAATGTGCAGTAGAAATTGTTGTCCATAAATAATGTTTGAAATACCCCCATGTAAACTCTCAGTTATGCTGAAAAACGGAACTATATACTGGTATAGGGGCGCTTGAAGGAGCACATAGTTGAAAATTCCTCATTTCGATACGCACACATGTAAGTCGTTATTTAAGGTCATTAATTTAACAATCTGCATAAAAAAATTTAAAAATAAAAATAAACAAATAAATAAATAAAACCAACGACTGGCCTGATCTTAGACCTCACCACTTAAGAACAATACGGGCTTACCTCTCCTACTATTTAACCGATCAAAATAACAATATCACTATAACACATCAATAACAAACACCTACCTCTCTTAAACCATACGCATCTTCTTCTCCCTCTTTTGTTCGCAAATGTTGTTGAACCCTTCCCTTTGAGCTGCAAAGCACCGGATCCTATCCCGCTCCTTTACTCATTAACCCACGAACCCTGTTACCACCTCACCTCAAAGCCACATGTCAGAATCCGCCAACTTCAAAGAAATTGGCAAGACAATCATGGGATGAAAGATTCAAGAAAAGATAAATGGAGGACAACAATCCAAGTAACTCTAGAAGACTGAGCTTAGGAGGCGCGGAGTGCAAGATCTTGTCATTCCCATCGTAGTCGTCGAAAGCCTGACTGGCTACGCAAAGGAGTCTATAAAACCAAGGGATGAGAAGAGCGCCAATGCCAAAGATGATAGAGATAAGGGTCAACACAAGAAGGAGACTAGCTATGAATCATCCTCATCTAAGGTTAAAGATAAGGGAAAATAAAAGGATGATAAAATCAAGTCACAAAATAACTGATTTCTTTATGATGGACCGCATTGGGCAAGAAATTGTCCTCAGAAGAAAACTCTAAACTTTCTCCTTGCAAACCAACATGAGGAAGAAGGTGGCGATACGGCGGCACAAGTAGGGTCCATACAGCTGCTGGATGGGATGCAAACTCCAACAAAACCCCAAGAGAAGGAGTTACTATTTGTGGACATGGTAATAGATGAGAAAACCACTCGAGCAATAGTGGATATGGTTGCTTCTCACAACTTCATCTCTGCCGAAAAAGCAAAAAGGTTGTGTTTGCGAATGACTTAAGGAGAAGGTTCCATCAAGGAAGTTATATCAGCAGTAAGGTCAATCCATGGAATAGCCAGAGAAGTAAAGACCAGCATTGGAGGGTGGTCTGGTACCTTAGACTTCTTTGTCATTCCAATGGATGATTTTAAAGTTGTTCTAGGGATAAATTTCTTCGATCAAGCAAGAGAGTTCCCAATACCCTTCGCCAATAGCGCTTGCATCATGGAAGGGAATCAAGCTTGCTTAGCACCAACAACAAGTGTTGGAGAAGAAGAAGAGGAGATATGAATAAGTGTTAATGTCGCATGGGTGACCTTAGACAAGTTAGTCTGTGACACACAGTTGTCTTATTCCTCTCCTGCCCAAAATTGTTGTCGAAAGCATGCCCTTCTCCCTCATGTTTTTTTCTTTTAACCGCAACCAAGTTATTGTGGTTGTAATAAACAGTAAAAAATAAATCAATAAATAATAATGAAAATAATAATAATATTTTTACCTCCTTGCAACACCTGTGAAGCGGGGTGCGTTCTATGAATAATAGCACCGCTTAAGGGAATTTAATACGAGGATTTTCTCGTATCCGCTCTTTCGAAACCGACCATACAAGAAAGAAAGGTAGAGAAAGTGAGAAAGGAGGAGTAGTCGTCACCTAGCCGATCCTGTGGAGAAAGAGTAATGCAAAGAAGAAATGGAAAAAAAGAAGAAATAAGAAATCAAGGAAAAGGAAGAAGAAGCGACAAAGGGTGGAAGGAGAAGGAGAAGCCCGATGGACAACCTTGAGGTAGGAGGAGGAGGTCGTGCTGCATTTTTTTGCACTTGAGGGCTCGAACAGCCCTACTCTAGTGAAGAAGACAAGGATGGAGAAGCATTCGTGCGCTAGATCTTCAACGGAGAGGACGAGAAGTGCGAGTCATTTCCTACATCTCGTGCAGCATGCAGGCTTCCACCGAGAGCTTAGGGAGAAAGAAGAAGTTGCATGAGCCTTCTGAGTGTGTGAAATGATCAAACAAACCCACATATGTTCAATTCAAAAGCTTTAAGACAAGGCAAAGATTAATAAGGTAAATGAAATAAAATTATTTAAGTTAGTAATTGTAATAAAATTTGAGCAAAATGTATATTAAATTGATTTCAATTTTCTTAATAATTGTTTAGGGCAAATTGAGGAGAAGAATGTTGAAATCAGAAAAAACAAACAAAAGAGATTTCGGGTATAAAAATTGATTTCAATTAATTGTTGTTGTCCAAATTGATTAATGTTAAAAATGAGCTAAATCATCTCAAATCAAAAACATATTTAGAATTAAATTATTATTAACTTGACGTATGCAAAATTAAATTTTAGAAGCTTTAATATAAAATATAAAATGGATATTGCTACATTTATGTGTATACATGTTTATATAATACATATATATGTATAAATGTTTATATATGAAAATAAATAGCTAATTAAACAAATAGATCATTAAAATAATGGTAGAAAATCAAGAATTAATCGAAGAAAACATTAACCAGACAAAAAGCCGATTACATGTAAATTTTTATTATTGGGTGCACCCAAAAGCTTAGACTATTTGAGAAAAGAAGCAGCGAACTTCAGTCGACATTGTTGAGGTGGATAAATGTGATTTATTTTATAATAGTTTTATTTATTTAATATTTCCCAGCTGTTATTTTACATGCAAAAGTAAATTTTCTTTTAAATGTTAAATGAAAGAAAAATGAATAAATATGATATATACATGCATATGAGAGTCACTCCTAGATGATACTAGTTGGAAAATGCAAAGTACACATCCTTGAAAATGAAAATGAAAACGAAAATGAAAATAGAAATGGTGAAACGTAATTTTTTTTAAATTATCAGCACGCGAAGCTTCCCTATATAATGATAGCTTGCGTCGCTTCCCATCTTCGCGAGAATTCGTGATCCACGCTCCGCTTCCACTCTGGTTCTGCATTCGTGATGCTTCACGAGGGATTTTGGCCCTGCAAAATCAAGGTGCTTGTGTCTGGGTATTGTTTTAGTACCTGCATTAGTGCGCTGATAGCGCCATGTGTTAGGGGAGCCGTTAGCGCCAGCGTCAGTATGTCGCATATAATGTGAGAGGCACAAGTTAGACTAGAGTCTTCTTAATAAATATTAGTAAAACGAATTAAAAATATATAATAAATTATTTTTGTGCCCAAAACTCCAAAAAAACAAACTAATGAATCAAGAAAGAGTTACATAAATGATCTAAAACAAAGAATTTATCTCAAATTAGACAAAAAAATGTCAAAATGATTTCTAAAATTGTTGAAATTGCAAAGAAATGAATTAGCTTATGAACGTACTAATTTAAATATAAAATTTATTTAACACCAAATAAATCTAACTATATTGAAAATTATCATATAAATATTTCTCGGAATATGATAAATTTATTTTGTATTATTATGTTGATATTCCTTATAATGAGATTCTAATTTACTTAGAAGTTTATAATAACTCCTCTTATTTTATAATTTAACATGATGATATTAACATAGTATTTCTTACTTTGAATAATTTATTACTTCTTTATGTTAAGATGTTAACATGTTATTTTTTAATGCACTAATAAGTTTGAATGTTAATATTTTAAAATTTCTCGTAATATGAAGTTAGATCAATGTATTTACATCATAAAATTTGTTGATTTTGAGGCTTATGCTTCAAAACATATTGATGGTAAGCCTTATCTGATGAAAGAAAAATGCCTCGACAACCAATTACATAATTTTAAACATTGTAAGAATGCATTCCAATAGAGATTTGCAAGAAGATGTATAAATGGACTTTTCATCAATATTTGAAGAAAATTTAGAAAAATGAAAGAGTAATTATGTGGATTAAAATAGTCTCTAAGGGAATGGTTTGACCAGTTTGGAGTTCTTAGTAAACATGATTTTTAATAAATTCAATTTGACCGCACCTTATGCTTCAAGTAAAATAACTTATTGTTTATGTAAAAGACAACCATTACAGGAAATGAAATTTGAGATAAATCACATGACAAAAATGCTTGAGGGTGGATTTCATATCAAAAAACCCAGGAAGATTCAAGTAACTTTTTGGGTTGGAGTTTGCCAAATCCAAGGAGGGGATTTTTATCTACCAACACAAAAATATTCTGAATTTGCTGATGGAAATGGAATTGACTATAGTTGTAGTCCTACAAAAAAACTTCACTTGATCCAAATGTAAAGTTTTAAACAACAACTGCAAATGAGATAGTAAATCATAAATACCAAATATTAGGTGGAATATACATTGCACTTACAAAACTGGATATAGTGCATTTTCTATGAGTGCCATGAGTTTGTTCATGTATTTACCATGACCTATTCAATATACAGATAGAGATTTGCAAGTGAGACTGATGATTAAGAATTTGGGATCTACCCCTGTTTATCAGTCCTTAAGAGGCCAAATTATCCATTTTCTTATTTCAATTCTTTCTATTAGGAAGATTTAGTGACGCGGGAGTAGGCTTTTTCCCTCAGCGGGACATTGGAGCGGATTTTCTCCTGTGGCGAGATGTGGGAGCGAGAAATGTCGCAAGAAGAACATGGAAACGAAGCCTCCCGCAGCAAAACGAATGGACTGATGAAGGCCGCTCCAGGGGAATCCTAAGCCAAGCGGCCCGGGTAAGAATCAGATGGAATTAAAAGTTTACTATTTTTGTTAACGTCCATCATTTCACACCTCTCTTGAACATACATACAGTCTTCTTTAAATAACATTTTAGACTCCTCATGAAAGCTCATTTTGATCTCATATGTTAACTTATTTTCAAAACTCTTTTGGAAATGGTTTTTACTTAGATAATCAATTTCATCCATCCGAAAACAATCATCATCATTTCTCTCAGCTGGATATTTTATAGCCTTTAAAACATCAAAAGTGGTTTCATGGTCATTAGTATTCATATTACTTTCTCCTCTTTTTGCCTTTCTCGTTTACTACCTAACTAGAGCTATATGTATGTTGGTTTGCTAAGAGTCTAGGAAGCTTTTGTTGTGTGTTGATTTCAGATTCCTGTGTGGAGTCTCTTTTCCCCACTGTGGGTTATATTCGAGGAGGTGATAGTGATCCGACTGTATTCTACTCCGAGATGGTGATTGTTCTTCCTCTTTTATCTTGCCGACTTCTTCTACTCCACTTCCCTTAGCCGCCGACCACCCCCATAGTCCCCCCCTTGCACTGCTAGCCCCCTTTCCGCTGCAACAACTTGTTGTCCACCACGTTTAGGTCCCCCCTGACATCCCGTCAGAACTCCTATAGCAGCTACCTTGTTGTCACAGGTCTTCCCCACCGCTGCCCTTGCTATCCAGCACCTTCCAACCACCAATTCGCCAGTCGCCGGCCACCTACGACTCGCCATATTTATTGTCCTCGTAATTTTGCACCTTCCCCTCATTACCATCAACACTCCTTTACTACCGTCACACTTGCCAACCAACCCAATTTACCCAACCAATCTCCACCGTCCTTGGGATACACTTTCAAGGTCTTTGTTTGTGTCATTTTAATATTTTGGTGATGTTACTTTAAGTTTGTGTGTGTTGTAACCCTAATTCCATTTTAATAAAAATTATTTTTTGTTGTTTGGGATTTCTCTTCTTACGTCATTTGGTACCAGAGCTAGCTCAACCCCAGTCCTATCCTAGGCCTAAGCCACCGCTAAAAAAATTTTGTTCTTTCATAGTCCCAACCATAGCCAAAAAACTTGACCGAACTCTCAATTCCTCTTGCTGATTTTCAAAATCAGCAACTCTAAATTAAATTTGTAGCCGTCTCTCAGCTCTCACGTCTACACCCTAGCTATGCCACTAATGAGATACATGCTCGAGCCTTCCTGGGAGGAGTACAACAAGAGATCTGTCAATTTCAGAAAAGGCTTGCAAACATTGAGGATAAAATTCAATGCGAGGCTACCCGCTACCTTGATCTGAAAGGTCGAAGGAGGGAACAAGAAAATGTGAAGATGAAGCGGGATACACAGCGCCAGTTTCTACCAACTTACTATCGCCAAAAGTTACAGCTCCTATATTCTAAAGTGGAGAGACTGCAGCACCAAGCGACGCCCTAGGAATTATCCAACGAAACCAATCCACAAGTCTGTCACAGCTAGAAAATGTGGCAAGTGCCATGGATTTGGACAAGATGAAACAGAATGCACAACCAAAAGAGAGATCTTCACCGAGCAGAGCGTCATTGAAAAGTTGGGTAAAAACACCGCAGACATTGAAGAGCAGTTCGAACGTGAATTTTTATATGATGAATCCTTCATCCGTGGAACTCCCTTATTCATGGATACATTCAATGTCTTTCCTCGATGTGATTAAAAGGAATACATGACTTTTGATGAGATTGTGATTCCTGCTCTCATAGAATATGTAGAACATTTTGTTGAGATAAAAAAAATTCACGCATATCAAAAGATGTTAGAATTTAAAATTTCAATGGATGGTCATAGTATCGACCAACTGATAGCATCACATGTGGGTACACTTCCAACCCTCACCCCTAGTGTTCCATATGAAGAGAAGAAAGGTTAGTGTGAAGCTTTTGCTATTGGAACATAGTACAAGATGCCAACTCTCCATAACTTCAAGAATCAGAGGAAAGACCTAAAAGATAATAATAATCACCCATCAACCAAACTTGCAAATCCTCAACCTTGCTGAGGCCCAACTTGTCATAGATGAGAAATGTATAAGATATTTACTTGTTCAGAATTTGGCTCAGGAGAATCAACAAATGGTGTACCTTCGGCTCAAATTATGCCCAACCTGAATGGATCTTCGAACAAGTATGCTCGCAAGTGGGAAAAGATTCTCAGATATGATGGGAGCCAGCGGAGTCGCAAGTGAGATCCAAGAACGGCCGACGAAAACCAGAAGCTTCGACATATGATGTTGAAGCTCTCCCAACCCCAGGATAATGAAGCGAGAGAGAGCTTTCTCTCACAGCGGGATGCTGGAGAGGGTTTTCTCCCGCAGCAAGATGCGAGAGCGAGAAATCTCGTAGCAGGAACACAGGAGCGAAGCCTCCCGCAGCAAACCTACCAATCTATTGAAGGCCAGTCAAGAAGATTCCCGAGCGAGCAGCACGAGAGAGAATCTTGATGGGGCGAGCGGCGTCCCGCGCCCCGTCCCTTGTCGTTTCTACTTCTTCTCCTTAGGGAGAGATTTTATCAGAGATTTTTGTG